CCTGACCAGTTTCAAAGACATTTTCATTGAACTTTCCTCTGTTGTCCTTTCTTTCTTTCACCCTCCTACAAATTGTGCTTCCTTAAAGGACAGTTTTATTTTGTCATTTCACTGCTAAAAAACTTCGTAGGTTCCTTACTGCCTGTATTATTAAGAACAAACTCTTCAGCCTGTCATTCTTTGAGCAGCCAAGATTCTAAAATATTTGTGATCTCTTGTGCAGTATCTTGCATTTTGTAATCACTCAGTAAATATTTATTCAGTTATTATATTTGAGATCTCCCACAACATGTTCCCAATGCCCACTTCCCACTTAGGTCCAACTAGTCCCTGACTTGCACCCAAAGCACTATTGTGTGAATTACTTGATATTTACAGAACCAGTCCCCAAGTGTCCTGTTGCTGATTCGTTCCATCATTCTTGTCCAGACTCACCCAAGTCCATTTCTGAACCTCCTCTCTGTAGGTTTTCTTTGTTCTGTCTCTATTTTTGTCCCTTTATTATGACTCACTTATTTTATTTTCTTGTTTTAAAGTCACCCTTGGTTTGTTCCTTCCACTAGATGTTAAGTTATTGAGGCTAGCAAGTTTTTTCACTTGTCTTTGCCTCCTCTTGAGCCCCAAGCTCAATGAGGAATATGTAGGTATTTTTAAAAGTTTTTAAATTGACTCATTCTTGTTCGATCAGTTCCTGGATGCCTAAGAGGACACATACAACCAGACCACTGTCCTCCATAAAAACTCCAGATACCCAAGCAAAGATGAGACTCATGCTCCTTTTCCTTTCCAAGTCTTCAGATGCTACAGCTGTATCTGCTCTGTGTCTTCCAGTAAACTCTGCTCTTACTTCCTCTTAGCTTGCATTTGATTTCCATCCTGCATGAAGCAAGGACCCACTTGGCTGGTCCTGTGGGACCCACTCTGGGTCCTTGGACCTGGGTTGCTGCATCATCTTGGTGATTATGAAATGACCCTCAGAGGAACAATTGTACCCCAAAATTAAGTCTGCACAGCACAATTTGACCTTTGGGGATTGGTAAGTTCCTCCTCTGTGAAACATAGTTGGTTTGATGCTGATGTAATTTCTGTCTATGTGCTCCTCTGTGTAACTGGTCTATTCTCTGGGGAAAAGGAAAACTGATATGGGACCTGTTCTCATTCCCTATTCTCGCTCCCTGTTCATTCCCTATGCTCTGAATTGCTTTAGCTGGCTCTGAAACTTTACTCTCACTTTAATTGTAAGACTCTCTGGTTCAGTTCTTGGAGTTTTTCTTAAGGCTGTTAGCTGGTATAAGAGACTGAATCACTCAGCTCCAAAGAAAAGGGACACTTGTTCCTTCCCATCGGAAAGTGTTTTTAGGTGACTAAGAACCCAGGGAAGTGTCAGAGGTTATTCCTCAGGTAGTAGTCCCCATAGAGGAAATCTTCTCCATGATAATTTATTTGCGGCTTGCTGGGAACACACACGTAAGACTGATCATACAGTGCTCCAAGCCCCCACAGTGGTTTTAGACTGTCACCAGGAGAAACCAAGATACTTCTGGGGAAGATCAGCCCGTTGGTGACTCTCTGGGAAGTTCTCCCCATAAGCAGCTCATTTGATCCACCACATGTTTTCCCTAGAATAGAGTGCAGACTTCTAAGTCTTTCTTTTTCATTGCTGGGTGGATGTCTCCTCATGGTAATTATGGGATGCTGGTATTACATTGAGGATTGGTGGCCAATCCTGTTGAGAAGTAAAACTCTTAGAATAAATAAGTGGTCCTGCTATACACCCAGTTGCACTGGGTTTTCTGCTTCTAGGGGTGAAACATGTGGCAGGCTGGTCACTGCTGGGTAGACGTTGCTTCCTTGAATGAGACATAGTGGATGTCTCAGTGAGACAGGCAGCAGGCTGGTCACTGCTGAATGGGTGTCTCACTTAGACACATGGCAGACTGGACACAGCCAGGTGGATCTCAGTAAGACATGTGGCAGACTCTTTACTGCTGGGTGGATGTCTCCTTTTTGGATTTCCTAGAGACATGTAACCTACCAAAACTAAAGCAGGAAAAAAAAAAAGAAAATTTGAACAAACCAGTTACTAGCAATGAAATTTACTCAGTAACCAAAAAACTCCCAAAAAACAAAAGTCCAGGACCAGATGGCTTCACAGGCAAATTCTACCAAACATTTAAAGGAAAGTTAATACTTACTCTTCTCAAACTATACCAAAAAAATACAAGAGGAAGGAAAACTTCCAATTCATTCTATGAGGACAGTATCACCTTGATACCAAAACCAGGTAAAGACACCACAAAAAAAGAGAACTACAGACCAGTATCTCTCATGAATAAAGATGCAAAAATCCTTAACAAAATATTAGCAAACTGAATCCAACCATACATTAAAAAAATCCCACACCACAATCAAGTGGGATTTCTTCCCATGATACAAGGATAGTTCAGTATTCAGAAAACAATCAATGTGATCCATGACATCAACAAGAGAAAGGATTAAAAAACATATGATCACTTAAATAGACGTAGAAAAAGCATTTGACAAAGTACAGCATCAGTTCATGATAAAAACCTTCAACAAAGTAGGTCTAGAGGGAGGATTCCTTAACATAATAAAGGCCTTATATGAAAAACCCACAGCCAACATCATACTCAATGGTGAAAAACTGAGAGCTTTTCCCCTAAGGGCAGGAACAAGACAAGGATGTCCACTTACCACTTTTATTCAACATGGTACTGGAAGTCCTAGTCACAGCAGTTAGACAACATAAAGAAATAAAAGGCATCTAAATTAGTAAGGAAGAAGTAAAACTCACTGTTTGCAGATGACATGATACTATATATAGAAAACCCGAAAGACCACCAAAAAACTACAAGAACTGATAAATGAATTCGGTAAAGTTGCAAGATACAAAATCAGTGTACAGAAATCTGTTGCATTCCTATACACTAATAATGAGGTAGTGCAAAGTGAAATAAAACAATCCCATATACAATTGTACCAAAAACAATAAAATATCTAGGAATAAACTTTACAAAAGAGGCAAAAGACCTGTAATCTGAAAACTATAAAACACTGATGAAAGATGACACAGAGAAATGGAAAGATATTCCATGCTCATGGATTGGAAGAGCAAGTATTGTTAAAATGTCTATACTACTACCCAAAGCAATCTGTACATTTAATGCAATCCCTATCAAAGTACCAACAGTATTTTTCACAGAATTAGAACAAACAATCCTGAGATTCGTATGGAACCACAAAAGATCTTGCATAGCCAAAGCAATCTGGAAAAAGAAAAACAAAACTGGAGGTATCACAATTCCATATTTCAAATTGTATTACAAAGCAGTAGTAATAAAACAGTATAGTACTGGTGTACCATAGACACATAGATCAATGGAATAGAACAGAAAACGCAGAAATAAACCCACAATTATATCGTCAATTAATCTTCAACAAAGGAGGAATGAATGTACAGTGGGAAAAAGACAGTCTCTTCAACAGATGGTGTTGGAAAAACTGGACAGCCACATACAAAAGAAAAAAACTGGACCACTTTCTTTCACAACACACAGAAATAAATGCAAAATGAATTAAATATCTAAATATGAGACTATAAAAATCCTTGAAGAGAACACAGTCATCTCTCTGACATCAGCCATAGCAACATTTTTCTAGATATGTCTCCTGAGGCAGGGAAATAAAAGCAAAAATAAACTATTGGGACTACATCAAAATAAAAAGTTTCTGCACAATGAAGGAAACAATCAACAACACTAAAAGGCAACCTACTGAATGAGATGTTTGCAAATGACATATCCGATAAAGAGTTTCCAAAATATATAAAAAACTGATACAACTCAATACCTGAAAAACAAATAATCCAATTAAAAAACCGGCAGATGACATGAACAGACATTTCTCCAAAGAAGACATCCACATGGCCAACAGACACATGAAAGGATGCTCAACATCACTCATCATTAGGGAAATGCAAATCAAAACTACAATGAGCTATCACCTCACTCCTGTCAGAATGGGTAAAATCAAAACATAGGAAACAATAAGTGCTGGTGAGGATGTAGAGAAAAAGGAAACCTCATGCACTGTCTGTGGGAATGCAAACTGGTGCAGCCACTGTGGAAAACAGTATGGAGGTTCCTCAAAAAATTAAAAACAGAATTACCCTATGATCCAGTAATGGCACAACTGGGTATTTACTTAAAAAATACAAAAACATGAATTCAAAGGGATACATTCACCCCTATGTTTATTGCAGCATTATTTACAACAGCCCAACTATGGAAGCAGCCCAAATGTCCATTGAGAGATGAATGGATAAAGAAGATGTAGGATTTTATATATATATAAATATATATAAAATAAGTTATATATATATTACATATAATAAGAATATGTGGGATATATAATAATACATATAATAAACTATAAATATTATTCATCCATAAAAAGAATAAAATCTTGTCATTCACAACAACATGGATAGAGCAAGAGAATGTAATGCTAAGTGAAATAAATCAGTAGAGAAAGACGAATACCATATGATTTCACTTGTATGTGTAATTTAAGAAACGAAATGAACAAAGGCTAAAAAAGAGACAAACTAAGGAACAGACGCTTAACTACAGAGAATAAACTGATGATTACTGGAGGGGAGTTGGGGGGGATGGAGATTAAAGAGTACACTATCATGATGAAAAAAATAAAATCCCAAAAATGAGTTTGTTAATTGAAAGCCATCACCCTGTTTTAAATATGCATAAAAGACAGTTTAACTAGACATTCAACTTTTGAGAGGTACCATTACTTGAAAACTGAAGAGAAAAATTATCTAGAAGACTGTTGTGTTTAAATTTTATTTCTGATAGCAACTAGAACACAGTAAACAAATTTTGATATCATTGGATTAATATATAAAACATGATTGAAATAACTCATTCCAGTTATTGTTTTTGTTTTTGTTTCTGTTTTGGTAGAGAGATGCTGAATTCCAGGAGCATGAAAAGATTCTGTCTCCAGATTTTCTTTCAGTTGCTCAAATCACTGAAATGCTAGCAGAGGACGTAGATGGAGTTCAACAGTAAGCACTTCAGTATTACAACCAAATATAGAACAGTTCTAGTGCTGCATCTATAAATGATCATGATGTGCTATTACATAATTTAAACTTTTTTTTCAAAAGAATTGTTATTATATTATGCAAATATATCCAAATATATATAATATCCAGAGTCTGGAACACCAAAATTCTCAAACAACTGACTTTTTGCACTGCTTAGCTGTCTTCTTTATGGGAGAAATGCATTTCAGACCAACATGCAAATGTTAACAGAGAATAAGGATTTATTGTTAAAAGCAGTCTTTAACATATGCTGTCTTCTACTTCTTTTCTCTTTCATTCATAAAACTCAATTATGCACAATAACCTTTAGGTCTTCTGTCTCATCATGACAAGAATAAGTTGTATTTTCTGTAATATTAAGAATTAATACATTTTAATATTTTGGAAACCCTGAGTATTAGCCATCCACCTGTGATTTTTATTGGATATGAAGCTATACTAAATACTCTGATTTCATGTATTTTGCCTAAAAATGTGAATGTAACTGAATTTATGGGAACAATTCTAATATATGTACATCTCATTCTTAAAGCCATTGATTTCTACAGCAAATCATTTACTTAGTAGTCAGATATATCTAAAACACAAGTTCCTAACATATGTTTTGAGTAATCAGTCATCTTAAAAGTTATCTTGCTCTAATAATATGAAGGCTGATTGACTATAATGTGTAGAGAGCCCACTCTACACATGATGTGATGTTCTGGACTGTAATGTCTCTTCTGCAGGCCAGTCATCCGGATGTTAGGAGGGTATTGTGAACCATAATGGACAAATAGAAAATGACTCTGTCAGTGGCTATCATTTGCAAACCTTTCAAATATTGTGGAATAGAGGTGATTTACTACTGAGAAGGAAATATGACAGATGTACTGGCTGGAAGAGAAATCTGAGAAGGGAAGACATTAAGAGCAGGCAAATGACACTGACAGGCCTTTTCCCAGGATGCTCTTCACCTTCAGGGCCTGCAAATCTTGCTAGAAATCCTGGTGATCTGTGATTTGGCCATACTGCTTACCATCTATATCTTTATAAGTATTAGTCAATTAAAAATTTCACAGATTTTTAAGCAAGTATATCATAGTAATTTTAGCATTTTTATAGAAATGAATGCCCATTGGAAATTCCGGTTTTTAGTATCAGAATTGATTAGTAAAATGCTTTCATTGTATTAGTATCACTGATTATTTATGCTTTAAGTAAAATATTTTCCATTTCCAGATAATCCCAAATGTTGTTGATCATTAAAGTGCAAAAAATAGGTATTTCATACTAGGCAAAATAGTATGATGCAAATGAAAGATATTTAATATAGTTTACAATTTATTTGTATTAAATATCAAAGATGTTATATTAAATGCAATTAATATTAAATAAAAGGTATTGCAAACAAATTTTTTATACTTGTTTATTTCTTACAACATCTTAAGTTGTACTGTGTACCATACCTTGTGTGACAATCTTTTTTTACCACTTATTGGCTCTCGTTGTTGTCAAATATTCAAATTCTAAAAGTATTTTTAATCTTTAAGAGGTGATGTCTAGGATAAAGGAAATAATACAGAGGGTGATACAGAAGTTAACTGTATAGAAACAACCAGGTTCAACGTAGGTTGACCTTTTAGATTGTCTCATTAATAGAATTCACCTGAAGTAATCTCAGATTTTAAGATATCAATTATGGATAAATGACAGTGTTATGTCAGGAGCCATTTCTTTGCAAAGTAATTTTCTTGAAGTTCTTTATATGATTTTTGTAACAGTAATCCTGAAATATTTGCAGTCAATCATTCACTTCCCATTTAAAATAGCATTATTATAAATGGGGATTATATACTTTTGAAAATGACAGAAATATAATTTAGGTATCCTGTCACCAAGTGACAGAAGTATGCCAAAATAATGCAAATCATGCAAAGTTATATATATATTTATAGTCTACAAAGCTATAAACCTATTTAAATACATTATAGGAAATCACATTTCCCTACGTTTTAAAATTAAAAATTGCGTTTCATGAAAGCAGCCAACCAAATGAAACAACATAGTATCATTAAAACATATTTCTAGAGTACACTTCAAGTAAAGTTAAATGTCTGAGTACATTTCTCATATCTCCTATTATCAATCATTCATGCTTTTAATGAAACCCTGATTTTTTACAGATACACCCAAATCCTTTTTGAAAAAAGGTTAAGGACTAAATTGAAAATAACTATTTAAACACAGAAATAACCCTGAAGGATCTTTTAATAACCTTCCATAACTGGGCCTCCATGAGCTGTTCAGCTCTTGCCTTAAGGCTTATTCCTGAGTGTCATCATATTTAAAAAATAAGATGCACTCCAATTTCAAGAGCATGTAAGAATAATGTAATACCTTTACTGGAATTCTTGGTGAGACAAAGTAGAGAGTTACATCACCTATCACTATAGCACAACTTCCTAAATCCCTGTTAAGCATCTTTCTCTTTCCCTGTAGTCTCTAATGCCATCTCTCCTCTCCCATGTCCCATCTTCCCTTATCTCAGAGGAGAAACTTAAAGATTTGCCAGTAAAATGCATGGAAACTTTGCATTCAAATTGCAACAGCATCTTGTTCCAAGTGCCTCCCTGCATAACCTCCTTTGGGGTGAAATATCTGAACAAAGAATAGAAATGATGACTATCCAGCCCTGCAATTCAAGTTGAAGGTTAAGATTCAAATGGTAGTGAGGGAAGTGGTGGAGGGGGGATGGGGGAGAGCAAAGATAGAGGATGTCAAAGAAGTTTCACTAAAATACTCTTAGACAAATAGTCGGCTTCATTTACATATAATCAGACACTGAAAATAATGAAAATAAAAAAGCAAAGAGCACATGCAACTATTTAAGTCAAATATTTAATTTTGTAAAAGAACAGCATGGAGATGGCAGATGAAAAGTACAGTTAGAAGGAAGACTAACTGTTGGGAACAGAATGTTCAGAGATAGATTGACTCCAGAGTTGATTGACTCAAGGCCTCAATAGTATCATCAAGAAATGATTATAATTTTAGAATTGATTTTTCTTATAAGATGGCTGCCAGTAACAATCAAACCTACATATTTACTCTTTTGTATTTTGGTTCCACAGAAGAAAGTAAGCCTCACCCTTAGTTAGGAATTAGAACAATTTAGGAGAGTGCCCACCATAGACCAGTAGTTACTATAGAGAATACCATATACTGAATGCCATTATATGGCTTTATGGGAAGAGGGAGAGATTATCATAATTGGTTTAGAGGAATCAGAACTCACTTTTGGGGTTGAGGTCTACCTTGACACCCCTGTAGATGAGATGGATGTTAAAGAGTTAAATACAACATCAGCTTTATTTTTTCCCAAACTTGTTTAATCCTGCTGTATTTATTATTCTGATTATAGAGTCTATTTCAATATTATGAATAATAAGGATTTCCTTTTTTGAAAATGGCAGTATAAAGTTGTCACACACCCACACACAGTTCCTCAGAAACCACATATAAGCAACAAGGAAATACCAATAACTTCTTTGTCCAAACAAGGTGAATCCTGTATGCCCAAACCACAAAATAGAGGATGACTGCCAGAAGCATTATAGATCAAGCAGAAGTGGGGAAAGAACAAGAAAGATACAAGAAAGATCTTAGAGTGAGTTAAAAAATATAAATTATTCTCCTGGGTGAGAAGAAAACCCTGAAGTGCCATTTCAAGAACTCTTGTTTGCAACAGCAGGGCCAGATAATTCCCATATTTACAAGAAATAGATTGTTTATGTGATGGTTATGAGAACCTATCCTACTTTTATTTTTCTTCCCCCCACTAATGAAAAAAAGAGTAAAAAACTAGAATAAATGACACAAACTTACTCTGTACAGAAAATAGTTTGTCACATGGCCAAGTCTGAGTACAAAACAAGGAATATGCATACAAAGCCATTTTAAGAAAAAAAAGTAATTGAAGAATGGGGGAAAAATACAGGAAAGAAAATACAACCAAATGAATATAGCCATGAGCAGAAAAATATACTGTCAAACATTTATCATGAATTAAAAAAAAAACTTACGAAGCAACCACAACAAGAGCATAAAACAGAGATATAAAAACTCAAGGAAGAGATAACAAGAAATAAAGGTGATAAAGCATGTAAAAAAGCAAAGAATAGAAAAGATCTTACAGAGGTGAGCTCTGTAAGCAACCCAAGGGAGAATTAACACTGCTAAAAACACTAAGGGACCTAGAAGACCGTATTGAGAAAAGTATATAAATATAAAACTAAAAGGAAATGATTTGAAAAAAATTTTGAAGGTTAATAGAAAATTATAGCTATAGACAAAATGAGTAAAACAGACATAATTTGAATTCTTCAAAAAAGAAAACAACAAATATTTAACAATATAATTCCAGAACATCATCAGAAACAAACTTGATTATAAATGGAAAAAAGATACTAAATTTCAGAGAAAAAAAATGCTAGTAGAGTAACTGTACTTCGAAGACAGAAGAAGGAAGAAGAGGAGGAAGATGAGGAAGAGAATTACAAGAATAGAGGAAGCGGAGGAAGAAGACCAACAAGAATGCTCATGATTGCTCTCTTCATCTCTTCCTCCTCTTCCCTCTTTCTGTTTCCTTTTGAATGTCATTTTGGACTTAGGATTTTGATAGGACTTCTCCCTTTCTCTTTCCTTTTGAAATGTCATTTTGGACTTAGGATTTTGATATTTTTAGATTTAGGGAATTATAGAATTTTCATTCAAGAAAAATATCTGCATTTTCAAAACTTAGAAAAGGAACTGTTCACTAATCTGATTTTAATGTCTGGATTTTTCTTTTTATTACAGAAAACTGAAAAATTTTTTGAATTTCAAAAACCTTCACACCTGTTTAAAGGAAGCCATTCTACTGGATTATTATGTATCTGGATTTTTGTGGGCTAGAGGAATGGAATTTTCTGTTATTCAATATTCAAAATTTATGACTTTACTAGATATGTTACTTCATAATCTTAGAAGTAAGTACATTCTTTTTCTTTTTTTTTTAAGAAAAGAAAATTTAGTCCACTGTTTAAATTAATGTTCTTAAGCAAAAGTTCCTAATTTTATTGCAATTCCTTCAGTGAAAATTATGGGATTTTTTTCTGGATAGAGCAAAAATATATAGTCCACACCTTCATTAAGTTGTAAAATTTCAAACAGTATTTAACAGGCTAAAGTTCTCTTAATTAACTTGCCAAAGATATGTTAGCTTCATTTAAAAAATCTTATCAATGCCATCCATCCCCAAAATATCACGTAGTTCACATTTATTTAGGTATTTTTTCATTGTTTGAACTGTTTTCATTTCATCTTACCTAAAAGTATTATTGGGATAACTCAGAAATGACTAATGAGAGGAGGTACTTTAGTCGATATCTAAGCCCCATTAAATAGACATTGCTCACATACACTTAGATTTTGTGACTTTTTTTTCTTATATATAACATTGAAATGAGTTACTATAGGAAATTTGGAAATTCTTCCTTAGAGCACTTTTCATTGTGATAAATTTTGTTTCAGAATAAATACAATTGCTTCTTGGAAGAAAGAAGTCTATCACTGATATATTGCCAGCTCTGTGTGCTAGGCACTGTTTTGTTCTAATCTTTAACATGCATTATTGAACCTCAGAGCAGCTCCTGCATGGGAGGTATTATAACCATGGTCTCAGAGCTGAGAAAGGAGTCCAGAGAACAAGGTTGCAAGCTGGGAACATACAGAACTAGAACTTGAATTTCAAAGTATATAATCAAAAGGCCAGAAGGGAAGGGGTTGAGGGGATTGGGTAACTGGGTGATGGGGATTAAGGAAGGCACGTGCTGTGGTGAACACTGGGTGTTATACACAACTAATGAATCATTGAATACTACATCAAAAACTTATGATGTACTATATGCTGGCTAACTGAACATAATAAAAAAAATAAAATTCCAACCCCCAAAATATTTTTAAAAATAATAATAAAAAATAAAGCTCCATAAAAAAAACGCCATGAGCACTATAAACACACAAGGGTATTTGTGTCTCAATTGAAAGACGTGGATAAAGAAGATGTGGTGTATATATATGTGTATATATATACATATATATACACACACACAGAATGGGATATTATGCAGCCGTCAAAAGAAATGAAATCTTGCATTTGCAACGACGTGGATGGAACTAGAGGGTATTATGCTAAGCGAAATAAGTCAATCAGAGAAAGACAATTATCATATGATATCACTGATATATGGAATTTAAGAAACAAGGCAAAGGATCATAGGGGAAGAGAGGGAAAAAATGAAACAAGACAAAACCAGAGAGGGAGACAAACCATAAGAGACTCTTAATCTCAGGAAACAAACCGAGGGTTGCTGGAGTGGTGGGGGGTGGGAGGGATGGGGTGGCTGTGTGATGGACATTGGGGACGGTATGTGCTATTGTGAGCGCTGTGAATTGTGTAAGACTGATGAATCATAGACCTGTACTCCTGAAACAAATAATACATTATATGTTGATAAAAATAAAATTATTTTTAAAAATTAAAAAAAGACATGCTTATGTCACTTGAGAGCTTGCTTCTTCCTCCCTCTCTCTCTCCCTCCCTCCCTTCCTTCCTTCTTTCCTTTTTTTCCTTTCCTTACTTTTTTTAAACTTTTCTTTGCTTTTTGGTTGTTTGCTTGTGTTTACTTTCTTTTCTTCTTCTTTTTTTTAATGAGCAGGTAGAAGACCTTGCTCTCCCTAAAGAATTGACAACAGAATTGTCAAATATGTGGGTGCCTATTTGTGGCCACAAAAAGCCTATTCTGTTCTGTGTATCAGTTTCTAGCAGGAGAAATTTTAAGCGAACTAGCAAAACTAATAGAGAAGCCACTCATGCCTTATACACCCTTCCTACTCCTAGTCATCCTTACAAGGGAAGAATTGGTAGTTCTTGTATGTGAGGAGAAAAAAGCATTATTTTCCTTCTCTGCAAGTGGGAGAATCTTATCTTTGCTTATATGTAAGTATGTAGTGCCATGTTAAAGATAAATAACTGGGGGCGCCTGGGTGGCTCAGTAGGTTAAACATCTGCCCTCAGCTCAGGTCATGATCCCAGTCTCCTGGGATTGAGCCCTGCGTCGGGCTCCCTGCTCAGTGGGGAGTCTGCTTGTCTCTCTCCCTCCCCTCTGCTCATGCTCTCTCTCTCTCTCACTCTCTCTCTCAAATAAATAAAATCTTTAAAAAACAAAAAGATAAATAACTGATACAAGAAAAAATAATTAAACTTGATAATGAAACAAATTTGTTATGATATTAACTGATCAGACAGACTTTGGTTGTTTTTTTCCCATAATGAACAAATGAACAAATATATTTCAACAACATTGCCAAAGTTACTTGGCAAGCAAGGAACCATGTAAATCTCAACTTGAGTGGAAAATAATAATAAATAGATGCCAATAATGAGATGAAATGGATATTGAGATTATACGTTAAAGACTTTGAAACAGGTATTATAAAAGTGCTTAAATGAACAATTGTGAACATCCTTGAAATAAATGTTAAAATAAAAAGAATCATGAAAAAAAATGGAAGGTGTAAAGAAGAAACAAATAGAAATTTTAGAATAAAATTATACAATAACCAAAATTAAAATCTCCTTAGATAGGAATAATAGCAAAATGGAGAGGAGACAAAGGAAAAAATCAGTGAACTTGAACATAGAGTGATAGCAGTTATCCAATCTTGAACAATACAGAGAAAAAAAGATTGGCAAACAAATTAACAAAACCTCAGGGACGGGGCGACTGGGTGGCTCAGTCATTAAGCGTCTGCCTTCAGCTCAGGTCATGATCCCAGGATCCTGGGATCGAGCCCCCCATCGGGCTCCCTGCTCCGCGGGAAGCCTGCTTCTCCCTCTCCCACTCCCCCTGCTTGTGTTCCCTCTCTCGCTGTGTCTCTCTCTGTCAAACAAATAAATAAAATCTTAAAAAAAAAAAAAAAAAAAAAAACCTCAGGGACTTGTGGGACAACCAAAGTTCTAATATACATATTGTTAGAGTCTCAGAAAGACAGGAGAAAGAGTATAGTACTAAACAAACATTTGAAGAAATAATGGCTGAAAACTTCACAAATTTGGCAAAACGCATAAATATATAAATTCAGGAGGCTGACTGGACTACAAAGAGACTAAACCAAAAGAAAAACACCATCAACCAACTGGGTCTAATTGACATTTACAGAACAGTCCACCCCAAAACAGAATAGGCATTGTTTTCAAGTGCACATGGAATATTCATCAAGGTGGACTGTATTCTGGGTCATACAACAACCTTAAATTTAAAATAATTGAAATCATACAAATACATTCTCTGATCATAAAGGTATTGAACAAGAAATTAATAACAGAAATATGTCAGGAAAATCTTCAAACACATATGAAATAACACAATTCTAAATAGTATGTGGGTCATATATCTCAACAGATATTAGAAAAGTTTTTTTTTTTTTAAGATTTTATTTATTTGACAGAGAGAGCGAGAGAGGGAACACAAGCAGGGGCAGAGGGAGAGGGAGAAGCAGGCTTCCCACAGAGCAGGGAGCCTGATGCGGGGCTTGATCCCAGGACCCTGGGACCACGACCTGAGCCAAAGGCAGATGCTTAACCAACTGAGCCACCCAGGCACCGGTAGAAAAGATTTTTAATTGAAAATAAACATGTGAAAATTTATATGGTACAGCTGAGTCAATGATAACAGGGAAGTTTCTATCATTAAATACATAGAAAAAATCTAAAATTAATAATCTAAACTTAAATCTTAGGAAGCCAGTTTTAAAAAATAAGCAGAAATCAAGCAGAAAAGACAGACAAAGAACAGAAATCAATGAAACTGGGAAAAAAAAAACAATATACAAAATCAATGAAACCAAAATCTGGATATTTGAAAACATCAATACAATTGATAAACATGAAGCAAAACTTGACTAAGGAAAAAAAAGGATACAAGGCACAGATTATCATTATCAGGTATAAAAAAAGGGAGGATATCACTACAGACTCTGCAGACATTAACAGAATATTAGGAAAAAAACTACTTATATACATAAATTAGAAAACAAAAAGGAAATGAACCAAATCCCCCAAAATCACAAACCAGCAAAACTTGTGCAAGATGAAATAGGTAACATGATAGTCTTATAACTATTTAAGTGATTGAATTATTTAACTTCTAGGAAAAAATCTCCAGGTCTAGAGAAGAACAGCAACAACAGCAAAAGGAGGAGGAGGAGGGAGAGAAACTACAGACCAATATCCCTCATGAACATAAACAAAAAATTTTTCAACAAAACACTATCAAAATGAATCAAGCAACATATAAAAAAATAGTACACATGACCAGTTAGGGCTTATCCCAGAAATTCAATGCTGGTTCAATATTTGAAAATCTCATCAATAAAAATAATCTAAAGAAGAAAAGCCACATGATCATATAAATAGATTCAGAGAAAGCATTTGACTAAATATGACATCCATTCATTATTTTAGAAAAGAGTCAGAAAACTAAGAAAAGAAGTGATATTCCTCAATATCATAAAAGACATCTACGAAAAAACCTAAACCTACTGTTATACTGAGTGGTGAAAGACCAGATGATTTCCCCATAAGATCAGGGTCAAGGCAAGAATGTCTACTCTCACCACTTCTACTCCTATTCAACACAGGACTGAAAGAAAGTCTTAGGAGTAAGTGCAGTCGAGTAAAAAAATATATAAAGGGGAAGGAGGAAGTAAAACAGTCTCTGTTCTCAGATGAAAGGATTGTCTATATAAAAATTAAACAGAATTTTAAAAATCCTAGAACTAGTAAGTTACGCAAGATTGCAAGAATAGGGTCAAAACACAAAAGACAATTGTATTTCAATGTGCTAGCAATATACATTGTATTCCAAAATTTTAATAAATAGCATTCTTTACAATAGCTCAAAAAATAAAAGAAATACTTAAGTAT